CACTGGCCTTCTTGGCCACCTGGGCACACGCCAGCTCATATTCAGCCGCTGTGAACTAATCTCCCCCAGGTTCTTTCCCACCAGGCAGCTTTGCAGCCCCTTGTCCCCCAGCCTGGAGTGTTGCAGGGGGTGGTTGTGGCCCAGGGACTGGACCCAGCACTTGGCCACGTTGACCCAGTGTTGGAGAAGCCAGGAACCTGGCTGTGCAGGTAAACAACACCAGGCAGGGTGGAGCAGGACGAAACGTGACTGCTGGATTCAGTTTCCATTACACTTAAAAGACTGGGCTACTTTGGGTCACAGGTAGGTAGCCTCACATTTAGAGGTGCTGTTGGACTCTTGGAGCTCCTTCTGGAGTCAGTGTTTAGCACAAGGTCAACTGTGTGACACTAGCTTACCATTATTTTAGTTTGCAACACACTACCGTTTTATTTTAAGGTAAGAAAATGTCAGCGGAAAAGGTTGTGTAGAACGGGGAAGTTACGGGGTCTTGAATATTGCATCCTTCTCGGAGCCACAGTAGAAATGATATTCTTCAGCAGAGCTGAAGGAACTGCAAGTTTCTTTCCTCCTCTGCTTTTTCATAACGTAGCTCTTTCATTTGCTTACTGTTGGCTTTCAGCTGATATTTTGGGCTATTTTGGCAACCTCTAGTAAACATTTGTATTGTGTTGCCTTGTCTTCCAAAAAGTCTAGGTATGCCACCGTACCTATAAACTGTGTATTTCATATACATTAAATATTGCTCATTTATAGATGTATAACATCTGTAATATGTATTTCTTACTAATATAATTTTCCATACAAAATATGCAAAAATATTAAATATTTTGGGCTTCTAAACTTACATTGTTCACCAACAATCCTTCTTCTTCCTTTATAAAAAAAAAAGTGCATCTGTGTTTCTTCTGTGCCTCTTTGCTTTATTGGCCAGTTCTGCAGAGATGTGTAAGAGGGGTGTTGAGAACAGTTTGAATGAGGTATGGATGTGGAAGCACCGGAAGGAAGAGAGGACAGGAGTTGGAAGCATGGCTTCTGTTCTCGCTGCTGCCGCAGTTGGACGCTGCGCCTTGCCAGCAGGAGACCTCACACTCTGAAACTAGGAAGGTGTCAGCAAGGCTACAGCACATCGCCACTGCCATTCCTTTTCCCGGTGTAGCAGCCTTATGAAAGGCGGAGTGAGGGGATGGAGCTGTTGGTTGGCAGGTCAGCAGTGTGAAGTGAACACTGCTGAAGCGGGTGAGTCCTGCCAAAGAAGCAGTTAGGTCCTGCAGGGTATAGAAGACCCATAAACCCTATCAGCCAGGTTTGCATTCTCCAGGAATACAACCAAGAGATGTGGAGAGCACCTGAGAGCCAGCATCCTTTGTCCTCTGTTTGGGACACAATGATGTTGGCCAGAGCAGCTGGCCAATGCATTTGGCATTGGTGGTTGTGTGAACACGTATAATTGATGTTGTTAAATATCCGAGATTTTGTTAAACATAATCACCTTCAGCCTGGAGAAGAGAAGGCTCCAGGGAGCCCTTATTGTGGCCTTTTAACACTTAAAGAGGCACAGAAGAAAGATTGAGACAGATTTTTAGCAGGGCCTGTTGGAATAGGACGAGGGGTGGTGGTTTTAAACTAAAAGAGGGGAGTAGATATAATGAATACATTTTTTACACTGAGGGTGGTGAAACACTGGACCAGGTTACCCAGAGAGGTGGCAGATTCCCAATCCCTGGGAACATTCCAGGTGAGGTTGGATGAGACTCTGAGCAACCTGCTCCCTGCAGTGGGGTTTGGACTAGATGACCTTTAATGGTCCTTTCCAACCCAAACTGTTCTGTGAGCCTTGAGCTTGATTATCTTGATTGACCAGAGACCTCTGCTGTCTTCTGCTGCACTTGAGTGTCCGTACATGCACAGTTTACCCTGTGTCTTGGCTGCTGTGTGTCTCCTCTTTCACACCTGCCCTTTGCGGCGTGTTCAGCACCGACTCTAGTCACCCAGTAGCCCTGCAGTGGTTGGCAGGGAGATGGGTGGACTTCGCTAACGGGATAGAAGTTGCAAGTTTTGTGGTGGCCCATGAAACCTCATGTGCCTCTCCTAAGTTCTGAATATCAAACAGTTTAATTTTACGTTGGTGCTAATAATGGGAGTTGTTCCCCAGAAAAACTTGGACGGAGTGGTCTTTGTCTCCATACGCCAGTCAGGCAGACGGTTCGATGTGCAGTGTATT